GAGAAGAAGAAGAAGGAGAAGAAGAAGAAGAAGAAGAAGAAGAAGAAGAAGAAGAAGAAAGGACTTTAACAGTTTTCAGAGAGGAAATCTCTGAAAACCTTCATACATTGCTCGAAATTTGCTAAAAGGGTGGAGTTAAGTCTCTTGCAGTTTCAACAATAGACGAATTCAAATATTCGAATATTCGAGGCTGCACTGCAAAATAGAAAAAATAGTAAATATCAGTTATTTGTCTCCGGAATTGAAAGTACTGATTTTCACCCTCTAGACCGTGAGTTTTTGGATGGCTGTGTTTGGTAGAGTTTAACGTCAGCTCTGCCGCAACAACAACAACAACAATAACGACAACAACAACGACAAAAACAACAACAACAACAGCAGCAACCACTACAGCAGCAGCATTAAAGTGAACATACATTAACCTATCTTTTTATTTAGATACTGAAATTCGATTCAGTGAATCTTTGCTATTATAAAGTAAAGGATATTCTCTTGGTATAGACAAAGAAGGTACATCAAGTATCTAAAGTATCATTTCCGTTGACTGGCGCCAATCACTCTGTCTGAAGCAAACGGAAACGTCGGAAAGTCATCCTCTTCAACAAAATTTAATCTTTTGAATTCTGAACGCCAATATTTAGACAATAATCCTGCGAAAAAATCCGAGTAATGTGACGTATTTAACCGCGCACTTTATTTGCCGGGTGATGAACTTATTCTTCTTTCCGCGCGCAGGAAAAACGGCCTGTCACGAGTTTACGGCAAGCTTAATGAGTTTCCTTCCAGCTATTTACGCTTTTTTAGGCAAACAGCGTCATACCTGTTTAAAGCAACAACAGATCTCTATTTTATCGTTGACAATGGTTTCACCTGTAGACTTTCACTTCCCGTTTTCTCTAGATTAGATGAAGGATAGATAAATCTCTCGCAGCTTGTTATTAGAGACGAAATACGATCTGCTCTCGCGACATAATCTCTCGTGTGATCTCCATGCAAGTGAAGAATTTAGTGGGCACCGTTTTTAACACCCCCTTAAATAACGGTATATAAAATTTAATATTTCAATGGCGCTTTCACAATACGGTATTCTCGTGACCAGTGGACTCATCATCCACACAGCTTTCATTGCATGGATTGTTCTACGATAATAAATTCTGTGAGGGATTTCAACCTAACCCGAGACTATCTCAGTGGCGGTTTATCTATTTTTGTTCATTGTCATGCGTGATTCACTTAATAACGCGAGATGTGTTTTTAAAAGCTTAAGCTTTCTTAGAACTCCACATCTATGAGAAAAGTATCGGAAGTTACCTACTTTTATGTGTGAATGTGAAAAACACCTTTCAATTTCCTTTTAGAAAACATGTGGGGAATGCTGAAAAGTTTTTTGTTTTGGGTACCAATGTTATAAATGCTGTCAAGTCTATAAATAGACCAGACCGGTATAAGAGTTGTAGCTTAGGGAACAGCGCTTTACGAATTCAGCTGTAGTGATGCTGTTTATGCGAGAAATAGATATATTTACTACAATTTGGCGTATTTTCAGTGGATAAATTCTATAGCGCGGAAACCACAAAATAAACTTGAGCGCCCATAAAAGGCGTTTGGCTTTGACGCAATGACGTCATATGAAAAGGACAAACGAAAGTTCCGGAAGTGTCGAGATGTCCCTTATGCAAATTTACTGTGTGACATTAGGCAACGAATAAACATTCAACGATACTCTTCCCTACGTGCTTCAACATCACACAGTCATATTGGACTGCTCTTTGAGTATAGATATCTTTAGAATAGAATCTGTCCTGTCTGTTCGTTGTTACATTTCATTCGTAAATTCAGACGATCAAGGACTTGGTGAAACTTACGAGAGATGGTGAATAAGGTACGCTTTTATCATAACTCCTCAATCCCATGACTCACACTTTGATGCACGACCGTCTGAGCGCTTGTTCGTCTCAGTAAGGCGATTTAATGTCGGATTATCTACAATCCTGCTTTGTGAATACGAAATTGAAACAGTATCGGCGAAGGGATGGTGAAATAAATTGAATTGGTGTTTTTGCCGGGAAAAGACATCACGAGAACTCGATTCCATTCCGTGACTCGTTGGTAAACATAGGAACAGCAGACAAGTGAAGTTCTATGTTCGGATCGACGCGAAACGATAATGCAATTTTATAGTGATGAAGCTTTCAGTTAACCGCCGAGTCGAAGTCAAAACATTTTCGATAGGAACTCTTTTAAGTATCAAACTGTTTGTAAACATTTATACCTTCTGTATTTTATTTTTCGCGAATGTCTGTGGTTAAAAATGCGATTGCGTTATTTATTATAAGTATATTTAAAGATGACAGCTTTTGTTCAAAGTTTAAAATTAGTAGTGACTATAACTTTCAAAACTAAAACATATTTTCATGTCAACAGATAGAATTTTCCTTAACTGATTTTATTTTCCCTGTAATCGAAAAGCCCGCGTTTAGTTTTATTTAGTTATTTGCGCCTACATAATTATTAAAATATTTCGTGTCGATCGTCATGGGCCGCGTTCTTGTAACTACTTTCCTGAGACACATCCTTCCCGACTGATGCTAGTGTCAGGCGATAACAAATTGTTGATTTACGTTGACTTTAGATCTTATTTTGTTCCACCTATAAGAACAGTCTCTCTGATTCGCTCCATTTCCGCTTCCGGTCAATGCATTTTTTGGCGTGGCTTAGCTAAGCCTCGTTCTGAAAGCCGTATTTCACACAACTAAACTGTGTTTTGAGAGGTAGGGTAGTGTGATCACAAGAAGACGGTTTTTGGTCGGAAAAACGCCGAGAAATTCAACATGCCTTTGGCATATTTAGCCGACCCTTGGCAGAAAATGAAAGTTCACGAGGAGATTGAGGTGATCTTTTATACACGGTGGTCGAATTTTCAATTTCGACCATTACTAGAATTTCGAAGCTCACACGGGCAAACCTAATATTCCCACTCTCTTAGGTTGCAGACGAAGAAATGACGGACGAAAATAAAAACGGAGTAAGCGTGCTTTTTACCGCCTAAAATATCAGCTTAAATAAGATTTTCTGTGTCAGTTGGGACGAATGCCGCTTTACGCAAGTTCATTGTTTTCCTTTCCGTTTGCAGCCCATCGAAGAGACGTCTTCACTAATCGATGTATCTGAAGAATTCGTAAATTCGAAGGCCTGTCTGAAAGCCGACCCGTCGCAGTTCGAATTGCTGAAAGTACTTGGGCAAGGCTCCTTTGGCAAGGTAATTTCCTCAGATTTAATGTGGACTCCTGCTGCATTAAACATTACCTGTTCAAGGTGAAATGTCCTTTGAACAAGCCGGATTTGTCAGCTATGCTGGCCATTTTACGTGTTAATCTTTATTTATCGTCGCTCCACCATTTGTTTTCAGTCATGCAGTTTGAAACTCATTCATCGTTGTGTAAACCGCCAGCATAGTGCTTTTTGCAGAGGTGACAGGCTATTAAACGTATTGTTTTAGGTATTTTTGGTGCGCAAGTTGACCGACTCTGATGCCGGGAATTTGTACGCCATGAAAGTTCTCAAGAAAGCGACTCTGAAAGGTGAGCTTCGAACGTAATTTGTTCACGTTATAACTTACTCGTATGTCGCCGTTGTTAAATCTTCTCATCTTCTGTAATGAGTGTGGTTTTTAAAAGGAAAAACAGGTTCGTTTTCTGACGAAGACCTTTTCTTTTCCAGAGTTAAAGTTTGCGTGAGAAGAAGCTGAAATGTACAATGTTTGATATTGGAAAATTATTTAGTTCGAATTTCTATCGTCTTTTTACACATATCGATCGTCGAGCGTAATCGCTGTTGGAAAAATGGAATTGCCTAGCTTGTTAACTGCCAATAAGTATTGTTTTTGAAAATCCTTTTTATTGCAATCTGATTTGCTATTCTGTATAATATCAGTAATTTCAGTTTGTTGACCTTTGTGAAGGGTTTTGAATGCCAATGTTTGTTGCTCATTTTGTCACTTACAGTTCGCGATCGCTTGAGAACTAAAAAAGAAAGAGATATCCTGGTGGATGTCCAACATCCATTCATTGTAAAACTCCATTATGGTGAGTAATTTTATTGTTTTTCTCAAAAACCAACATGCAATTCAACTTTGATTGAAGGGATTGCATGTTAAGAATATTAACTCCATTATTATCTAGATAATGATCTTAGAAAAAATAAAACTGTAGCTGAATACAAAGTTGTTGAAATGTTAATACCCGTTCTTTTTCTATGCCATGCTATTTACAGTTTACGTTTTAGGGGGTAATTTTCTCTGTGCTTTGAATGTTAAGTTTTCACCTGCTTTAGGATGGCACTAAATTGTTGTTATTTATGGTTATGTTGTAATTTACATCCATTTTCCCATGGTAGATGTATTTGAAAAAGAAAAAATATTATATCGAGAAGACATCCATACCCTTATGTTCCTGTAGGAAAAATGAAAAAAATAATGGTAAATTTCAAGATGTTCTTAAGTGGTTGGATATTCTTATCATACTTTGAAAGTGTTAAAATTGATTATTGAAATGCAAGACTTAAATTTTGAGTAATGATTGATAACACTGTGTACTCTTGTTTGCTAGCTTTTCAAACTGAAGGCAAAGTCTACTTGATCCTCGATTTTCTTAGGGGAGGAGATCTGTTCACAAGATTGTCTAAAGAGGTAAGCCAGAAATCTTGCGGCATATCAGTATCGGAAAGCTAGCTGATGTACTGTTTACATGTTCCCACAATCCAGTTTTGACACTATACATGTACCCTTTGTCAACAGATAATGTTCACAGAAGAAGATGTCAAATTTTACCTGGCTGAGCTGGCTTTAGCCCTGGATCATCTTCACAAAATAGGAATTATTTATAGAGATCTCAAACCTGAGAAGTATGTTTCAGAGCTCACTTCTGAAGATGCTTTACGATCAGTTTTATGGTCACAGTCTAACCTTGGTATAACCAACCCCTTAATAACTAAGCCTATGATAGATCAAATAACATACTTCAGAACAGTTATACCCCAAGGATAGGGAGGCACTTAACAATAGTGACTTGTCTTAAAACAGAACACACACCTCTACCAGGGTTTAAACCTAGAGTGCTTGTTCAGCAGGCTTTTGGCCAGATGGGTGTCCAGGTGTCCTGTGGATGGCCACTTTCTGCAGGAAATTATTATTTTTTTCCTATGTTGCCTTATAAATTGCTCATTTGAGCAGGCCGTATAGCACATTTTGGACGGCCACTCTTCAAATAGACCATTTTACAGTTGTCTACTCAGTGACCTGGCCTTTGAATGTCAACGAGGCTGGAGGTGACCTTGTTTTGATACAGACCTCTCTGCTTTTGTCATGTAAATGCACCTAGTTAGCATAAGAAAAACCAGTGAGGTCTGTATCAAAACAAGGTCACTGCCAGCCTCGCTGCCATTCAAAGGCCAGGTCACTGAGCAGACAACTGTAAAATGGTCTATTGCGGCTGAAAGCTTGTTGTTCGGGAGACCAATGCACTAACCATTGGACCAACCTGCTTCGCAAGGAGTCGCATGTTGGTTTTATATTGATGTTTTACTGAGTTTATAAATTCCTGATTAAACTAACTAGTGTCTTTGCGACATTATAAAAGGGCCATGCAAATACACTTCATGGTGATGTGGTGGTTTGTTTCTAGGCCGGATGCTAGTCCACTGCAGGAATACCCCCCCAGCATTGAGTTCCCCAGTTTCCAATAATATCTACCTGGCTGGATTGAGGCACTGTGAAAATAAAGTTGTTAAACCTTGCTATAAGTATTAATCTGTTTTTATTCTGTTCTTTTTATTCAGTATCCTACTTGATGCTGCTGGCCATGTTACCCTAACAGGTTGGACATCTGTCTCTTGGACATCCTATTTTAGATATTTTACTATAATATAGAAATTTATACATTCTTTTGAACCCCACTATTTCCAACTCTCAGAGAAAACTAAAAATAGTTCAAAATAGTAGGAGTTCGAAATCATCATCAGTTCTGTTTCTCCTTATGGAGAGTGGGGCAAAGAAGAGTTTTGAATTGTTGATAGTAAATGATGGAAGGGCAAATCCAATAGAAATGGTTTTTAGTTCAAAATAATGGGCTATTCAAAATAGGCAAGTTCCAGTTAGCAGGGTCCAACTGGAATTTCAGATTTCTTCTAACAAAGTTAACGAATATGGAAGTTGAAACTGAGATTTCTTTAAGAAAAAATGCAATAATATTAAGTTTATTTATCAGTTTCACTTTAACCAAAAAATGTGACCCAATAGCTTGTCTTGTAAGGCAACTTTTTCAACTAAACAAAATGGATGTCTTTTAAATATTTAACCAGAAGGAAGGAAACAGTGAACACATTTGGGGCTTTTAGTACATGACTATCGTTTGTCTTTTTTTTAGACTTTGGTCTTTCAAAGGAATCAGAATATGATCAGAAGACATATTCATTCTGTGGAACAGTAGAATACATGGCTCCTGAGGTGAGCCTTGAACTTTCCATTTTGTATTGCTTGTAGATAGTGTAGTTATCTTTTATAGTGATTATTGCTCACATAGCAACTGAGACTTGCGCAGTGTGCAAAGATAATGCTACATCTGTTGGTGCACATACAGGTATATCATTAAGAAAGGGAGGTTGAAAACATTGCTCCCTCCTTTATTTCCAAGATGTACCTTTTCTGTGTGCTGTTCATGCATTTGTATATGTACTTAGGAAGTAGAAACCATCTTGTATGCTGATGTGTGGTGAATGTAAAAGTTGGAAAGTGGAAAGTGCAGGCTGTAATGAGGCTTTGTTATGTCAGATTCCAACAAATGAACTTGCATTGAAACAGCATCACATGGGAAATGAAATGATACTTGTCTTGAAATCAGTTAAAATTATTATTGATAACAAAGCTTCTAAATAGAGCTTCTAAATAAAGCTTCTAATTAAAAAAATAATAAAAATAGTGGTGTGGTGATCTTACATGTTTTTAAATTTAATGCCAAACAACAACCTGTGGGTGTATTTCACAAACAGTCCCCTGCACATCTACATGTACAAGGGTGAGGTGATTGCTCTGAAACAGATACTTCAGATACTCTGTATTGAATAGGCAAAAGGTTTTATGTCGAAAAAGGAAGTTAAATGCAATCAGTTGACACTGCTTGTTGCTTTGTCTCAGTTACTGGTTAGAAAAGGTTGCTATGTTTGTTATACATCCTTCCTTATTTTTTTATGACTGAATTACACCTGTAAATAAGGGCAGGAAAAGCAGCAGTTGTTGTTGTGGTCTATCAGGAAGTGTATATACTTAAATATCCAAGACAGTCAAAACAGGGCACATAATGATTTTTGTAGACATTGGCCACGATTTTTTATGATAAACCATTGTAGAAATTAGGGTGCAGCATAAGTTTCCTGACAGAAAGCTATAATCCCCTTAAAGTTTTGCCGCACTATTTTCAGCTATTTTTTCTGTAAATAGCTCCACAAAGGACTCCTCAGCAGCTGTTGTTTTGCCTTTTTTTGCCTGGCTAGATGAGAATATAATGCTTTGAATTAGCAATGGACTCAGCACTCTGACAAATGAGACAAATGTACCCAGTTGTGCCTTTTAAGAATTGAAAATGTTGCTGCAAACAGTTGGCACCCATCAAACACTATGGCCTGTCAACATCACACTTACATGTGTATGTTGAGAAATATTGTTATCGGTTAATATTTTCAAATGCATGTTCAGGAAATGTTTATTAATTGTTAAGATTTTGTTGATGAATCTTTATTGTTTGAGAATTGATACTTCAGAAAAACAGTTTAACTGACTTATTAGAGTGCATGAGAAACTTCTGCTTTGCACACTGAATTTATTCAACACATGACACTTAGGTAAAATATTTATTTAATATCAAAATAGGTTAAACTGATTAAAATGCCTGAGTAATTCCTGCTCTCTATACTTATCCATTCAGCCACTAGATGAAATGCCCTCAGTGACATGCAGGCTGTTCAAAATTGTAACTTGACAAGCTCTAAATTCAGATGGGATGCATGCTTACCATCTCTAACAGCAGGGTTTGAAAAAAACTTGAATTCCAGCATGTCCTTTGGATAAGAAGCTCCCAAATTTCATTGGGCAAGTCTTAGTTTACTTTATTTGATTTAGTTGTCAGGCAATTGCCAACTAGTTAAAAAAATAGGTTAGCAAAAAAACAAAAAACAAAAACAAAGGTTAGCGAAATCTTGCTTACAATTAGCAAGTATTCGCGATATGCCAATGGCACCAAATTAAAGGCAGTAAAGTCTGCTTGTCCCAGGGGACTAGAGGACACTTTTTTGACTCCTGCTTACAACATCCTGTTGGTCTATATAAACAGGACGTGGCTGCCTTCTGTTTTCATTAATGATTTTATGTCCTGACTATGTTTGTATAACCTCATGCAAAATGATGGGGCAGCCTATTGATCCAAGTGCGCATAACATGATTAACATTTATGAAATAATGTCTTTCTGGTTGTGGTTTTAGGTGGTCAACAGAAGAGGTCACACTCAAGCGGCAGACTGGTGGTCTTATGGTGTTCTCATGGTTAGTGAACTTGCCTATAGGCCACAAATTTTAAATTATCCTGCTAGGCTTGTCACTTGCACATAAATCACTCTTATGCTCATTAACCCTGATCTTCATTTTTGTGATTTCAGTATGAGATGCTGACTGGGGCGCTGCCATTTCAAGGCAAAGATAGAAAGGATACAATGAATATGATTTTAAAGTATGTACAAAGTAATGAAGATCCAATAGATGTTTGTATTGTTTAATTATTAAGATTTCATGTAGGGGATGAAGTGCATCATTATAACATATCAGAGCTGACAAAATTAGTCTTTGATTTATAAAAGTAACAAATTTAATAGATAATTCTATTTATAAATATTAAGTAAACATATTTTCCATGTCATTCTTTCACATAACAGAGCCAAACTTGGTATGCCTCAGTTCTTATCACCAGATGCACAAAGTTTATTGAGAATGCTTTTCAAAAGAAATCCTTCAAATAGATTAGGTAAGTGTGAGAAGTCCAATACATGTACAAAGAGTGAAGGTCACACAAGGTTTTGATATGCTTTCCCAGAAAATATCATACTCTGAAGACAGCCCCAGCCCCCCCCCCTCCTCTCTCCCCCCACAAAAAATCCCTATTGAATTTCCAGTTTTGATCATCATCATCATCATCATCCTTATCATTATCATTCTTACTATTATTATTATTATTGTTGTTGTTGTGTATAAAATAGAGTTAGTATTGCATCTTTTCTTTCCTTGACTTTTTCCCGTCCAAAGGCCAAAAATGTTCACCTTGTGGCGGTTGGGATTGGCCGGTATGAGAACTTTCAAGGCCAACTGGAGGAAATTGCAGGAAAAAATGCTNCCCCCCCCCCTCCTCTCTCCCCCCACAAAAAATTCCTATTGAATTTCCAGTTTTGGTTCAAATCATCATCATCATCCTTGTCGTAGTCGTCGTCGTCGTCGTCGTCGTCATCATCTTTATTTAAAAACATGGTAAATACATCAGGCAGTAACAATTTAATATAAAAGCTACAACTTATTATGAAAGACTATGTATACAGATTTCCCCCTCCCTCTTGGAATAACCCATGTTGAGATGGATATGGATTTTTTTCGTGAACTGCACACAATGCAAGAGATGTGCTTTCTGACTCCTTGGAACTTGTTTTCAGGTGTTGGTGAGAACGGAATTGAAGACATCAAAACTCAACCGTTCTTTTCGTCCATTGACTGGGAGGTATGTTTTAAAGTGTTTTGTCTGGAATGTATGTTTCAATTAATCTCTCCGGCTGCATTTCTCTGAATTCCTTGTGATTTTTAAAATATCATACAAAAAAAGACCCTGCTTGCCCACATTTCAAAACACAGAGAAGAGAGCTGAAAATATGATGTGTAGTGGAGTATTTTTGACATGTTTTTTCGACGATATGTTGGGAAAGGTGGTCAAACACTGTCTTGATTGATTGATAAATCTTCTCAATTGAAACCAAAACTAAGGAGAAAATGGAGAAATCAAATTGTTAAATCTATGTTATAAAGAACTCAGGGTTAGAACTGCAAACAAGTTATCAATGCCATGATTTCCTTTGTTTAAACTTGATGAACTGTTAATGAGTTTGAGAAATTTGGTTACTAACATATATTATTAAATAAATATTTTTGTGTTCAACAGAAATTATTTAAAAAGGAATTGAAGCCTCCTTTCAAGCCAGCTGCTGGTAGAGCGGATGATGCTTTCTATTTTGATCCTGAATTCACTTCTAAAACACCGCAAGGTATTTAAATGTGTTTGTAATAATAATTTATTTTCTCCTCAATCATATGGCAGATAATGGAAGCATGATCCATGATAAATTTTCAGACCAGTCGTCTTGAAGACAATCCTGAAGTGTTGAAACCCCTCTTTTGAAACCCTTGTTTTGTGCCAACAAATTCTACTTTTAGCACAAGAACAAATTGTATTTTCTACTAGCTGATGAACATATAAAAAAGAGTACATGTACATTATTCTTACACACAACCAAGTAAAATTAAAAGGCCACCCTTGGGGAAATGGATAGTGGCTGCTTAAAGGGGGCTGGCCACTTAATAGAGGTATAAACAATAGAAAAGCCCTCTTCAGGACTTTGATTTCTGGTCACCTTATAGGGGTGGCCATAAGTAGGGGTTCAACTGTATGTATCTTGATTGATCTTTAATGTTTTAAATAGATTCTCCAGCTGTTCCCCCAAGTGCGACTTGTCACCAACTTTTTAGAGGATTTAGTTTTGTGGATCCTGGACTTGTACAAGTGAGTTTTGAATAGCTAGGGAAAAAGTTCCTTATTTTTTTAATTTCAAATACAAATTACACTGACTGCGCTTTTCTCATTGTTTTCTTACTTGTAGGCAGACATTTTTTGACTAGTTAATACATTTATATTTTCCTTTTGACAGGAAGAGTCATCACAACTAACATCTAATGGATCAGACAAAATGGAGACAGATCATAAAGTAAGAAAGAAGGCAACCAGATAACTCTTAATTTCTTATGTAATTAATTATTATTATTAATGTTATAATAAATACTTGTGAAAGTTAGCAGCATCAGTGCATATGATCATACAGTTTATTCTAAAAGAAACTTAGTATTTATAAGTCACTAAATAATTTTGTTAACATTATTCTTATCTACAGCCGGTCCATAGTATGTTCACCATTAGAACAACGTCCATTCTTGAAGAATATGAAATTAAACAGGTGAGCCAGCACTACTGTAGACACTGTTGTACACTGTATTGTGATTGGAACATGCCATTGTGTTGATGTGAGGTGTTCCACACAATGTCATGTTATTGACTTCAGTCCCAAGAGTCCGTATTCAAGTACTGGAAGTCCGTATTCAAGCTTAGTGACCCATCATGCTGATGCTTATCTCCTTTTTCCATAGCTTGGAGTGACACCACAATTTCTGCTTCTTGTAGATGGGCTGATATTCCATCACAGGGTTAATACCCCAATCATTTTATTTGCTAGATGAAATTTATCTACTTAGGATGGATCAAGGCATGTCCTAGAGCAATATTACGACACAATAATCCTGGCTAGGTTAAAACTAGATTCTGCTGCACTTAGTTAACCACTGGGCATCCCTGGAGTGATCGACATTTAGTTTCTCCACACAGATACAAAGCAGATGATTGTTAAACAGCCAAGTGATGAGAATATACAGTTTAATCAACTGGGTTATTTTAGACATTTGATAGGACTTGAACAGCAAAGTAACTTGGTTTTCAATCTCAAGTGCAGTTCTTTTAATAATACTTCTGTTCTTCTGCTTAGGAAATTGGCAGAGGATCATACTCAGTTTGTAGGAAATGTGTTCACAAAGCATCAGGAGGCGAGTATGCAGTTAAGGTAAGAAACGTTTTACATTGATTCATTATTTTAGGTAGATACACCGAGAAAATTATTGCTAACTTGCTACCAATGATGATTTGCATGAGAACAAGGGAACCACATGTATGTTGTTGCTCTCATGGAATGGTTCCTGAGTGGCTGGAGATTTTTTGAATGTTGTGCATTTTTACTGGTGTTTTTAAGCCCAGGTTATGGCATTGGAAGGACACCACAAATATATAGGTCAAGATCTACATGTACTGTTTACAAGTGCATTTGCTGCAGTATTTATATTATATTTGACTCAATTCATTTAAAATCAAAAATTCTGACTTTTTTACAGATTGTAGATAAGAGTAAAAGAGATCCTACAGAAGAAATTGAGGTAAGAATTCCAATATTGAATAACGTTCTGGATCTGTAATATTTTCAGCTTGCAGTATCTTGTCCCACTTGTGATAGTCACACATTCTAAGAAAATGATAAGTTTTGAGAGTTTTGCAAAATCCTTTTTCATCAAATTTCTGCCACATTTTTATAATGTAATCTGTAAACATGGTTGTGAAAACGTTTATTTGCCCATGAAACATTGAACTTGTTATAATGTGTCCTTGCATCAAGATTGAATTCAATTTGCTCATGGCACTAGGTCCCAGATTCAAACCCAGGCCACATTAGTGGGAAGCAAGCTCCCTCAGTACTGTGCCAACCGTTCTCCCCTTGTTACAAAGATTGTGATAAAGTAATACTAACGTTTGTTCTTTCTTTCAGATTCTTTTACGATATGGAAGTTATCAGAATGTTATTCATCTCAGAGATGTAAGTTCAGTCTTCATGATGTGAATACTAGATGCGGCATAATCCTCTGGACTAAATAAATGTGGTAACCATGACACTAAGTAATTCAAGGTGGACGCAAAGTCAACGTGGCAGCCATTTACAAGCACATGTTCTAAAACTCTTTAATCCCAGCATGCTTTGGACAGTGACAAAACTTGCATCATTTGAGACAGTCATGTGTGACATTACTCAGATTCAGAAATCAGATGTTGTCATAGAGTCCTAAAAGAGAAGCCTATTAGGGCCAATTAGGTCATAACTCTGCTGGGCACTCAACTCTGGTTTCTGAAGCTTGAAGTGGCTGTGAGTACTGCTACTGCCCCATGGACAGGATGCTAGTCCAAATCAGGGTGTCATCAGGTTGTCCCAGTAATTTCTGCTGTTGGGTGGAGACAGGCACTGTAAGAGTAACGTTTCTTGTCCAATAACACAATTGACACAACGTTGGAGAACCCTGGGCAGGGTTTAAACCCAGAGCTCTTCATATGGAGTTCAGCTCACTAACTGGGAGGCTTGGTTATTAAAGTGAGATTTGTTTTTTGTTAGGTGTATGATGATGGCAAAAACATGTTTATGGTGATGGAGCTGATGAGGGGAGGAGAACTTTTGGACAGAATACTTAAACACAAGAGTCTATCAGAGCGAGAGGCTGCACTGATAATGTTCACACTAGTCAGCACATTCACTTTCCTCCATGAGGAAGGGGTAGGTTGAAATTTTCAATCATTTTATATTTCAGCTGATGTGTCATGAAAATCCCTCTAGCTTGAATGAAATTCCATGTTACCATTTTATTTCTGGAATTAGCAAAATTATTTGAAGATGCAAGGAAGTGCTAATACAACTGTTTACTAATGCTAAACCGTAAAAGAACAAGGATGTAGAGACTGGGGAAGACTGTGACACATTACAGAGGACGCACTGCAAAAATTTTGCAACCTGCTCCATAGTTAGGTCACAATAATTTATGGTAATTTATAGCAAATTAATTATACTGTGTACTTAATTAATTAATCCTGTGTAATTTTCTGTTATGATAGGTTGTCCACAGGGACTTGAAGCCAAGCAACATAATGTATGCGGATGACAGTGGAAGCCCTGAGTCTCTAAGAATAGTTGATTTTGGATTTGCGAAACAAATCAGAGCGACAAATGGCTTGCTAATGACGCCATGTTACACGGCTAATTTTGTGGCTCCTGAGGTGCTAAAGAAACAGGGTTATGATGCTGCTTGTGATATTTGGAGTCTGGGTGTGCTTCTTTACACCATGCTTGCAGGGTGAGTGCTAATTTATGCAGTACAGCTCATTTTTCATGTGTATGGTCACACACCTGAGTTTCATTTCATGTTATACTGTTTAATAAACAATGCCACATCAAATTGAATGGCGCATATTAGTGTTTCATCCATAGATTGGAAAGTTGCTAAAGTGCCAAACAAAGTATTTTTCAATAGCTTTCACATGAATGGTTCTACTCAGATTTAAAATTTAAGACCAGATCACTTGTCCGAGTTTTCTTTGTGAGACAGAAAGAATTTGAGTTTCCCTTTTCGAACATGTCTCATCAGTTGAACAGAACAGCACCTTTGGATAGTAGAGGCCAGATTCTTGTGCAAGAGAACACTGTCCTGTCTTTGGCAAAAATTTAAAATCACTAAATTCTTCTCATTTTTTGTTTTCAGACAAACGCCATTTGCTGTCGGCCCTGAGGATTCTGCCTCGGTTATCTTGTCGAGAATAGGCGAAGGAAAGTATTCGCTTGTCGGAGGAGCTTGGGACAGCATTTCGGACGTTGCTAAGGTAACAGTTACGTCATAAAGTTCTAGAATCAGCATCAATATTTTTCATACGTTTAGTTTTTGGGATAGAATTCAGAGTGCAATCTATTCCCCTCGTGAGTGCACCGACCTTAAAGTCCTCAATGATTACAAACAGTGTCGTTGCTCAGTTCAAGGAACTCTCTTATAGACATTTCTGGCTCAAGTAGTACATTCATCTGGAAACCTTTCTTTTATATACTTTTTTAATTTAATAGCACGCTCAATCGTTGATGCTTCCCTCATCTTTTTAACAGTCCTTTGATTACTTATTTTTAGGACTTGGTTCGACAGATGCTTCATGTTAATCCAAGACTACGGCTAACAGCAAAACAGGTAAGAGGCAATTGATAAATTCCCGACATTTTGTCTGCTGTTTGGCCTTAAAGGAACTCTGTCACGGATTTTTAGCCAAATTTAGACCCAAGAAAATGGCCACCAAATTGAGTGAAATATAAAAATAACCATTCAAGACACGGAAGGAACATTTCAATCACACAACAAACACAATCGAAGGTACGAATCATGCAATGGGATGGACAGAAATTGAAGATTAAATAGACTAAACTCAGCCGTGACACAGTCCCTTAAAATCAATCGATTAGCTGGATTTGGCAACCTTTGGGAAAAATCCGGCGTCCTTTCCATTTTTAAGGTCTTTTATTGTCTCTGTCTTGCTACATGTTCATGTATAAAGGCTCTGTTTCATTGTNGACTCTGTGCGGTATATATTACCTTTTTAGAATAGTTCCATCATGGCTGTGCAGATAGCCCCTCATGTTTCTTTGTGAAGCTGCCAGGTCCTTCACTTCTTTTCCTCTCAAAAACTTTGTGGCCAATACAGCATGTTCAATCTTAATCACCATTGACTCTGGCTGAACTGTGAAGTACATCTTTTCTCTGGAGGATAATCATATTTAATGAAGGGAAAAGCTCCAAGTTAGGGGGGAGAGTGAGTACCTGGGGAGCACCTGGGTGGGGGTGTCATCATCATCATCTTTATTTAAAAACACGGTAAATACATCAGGCAGTAGCAATTTAATATAAAAGCTACAACTTATTACGAAAGACTATGTATACAGATTTATCTTCTATAATTTAAAATATTGCTAGCCATTAATTTAAAGAGAGAGACCCCTCCCTCTTGGAATAACCCATGTTGAGATGGATATGGATTTTTTTTTTCGTGAACCACACACAATGCAAGAGATGTGCTTTCTGACTCCTTGGAACTTGTTTTCAGGTGTTGGTGAGAACGGAATTGAAGACATCAAAACTCAACCGTTCTTTTCGTCCATTGACTGGGAGGTATGTTTTAAAGTGTTTTGTCTGGAATGTATGTTTCAATTAATCTCTCCGGCTGCATTTCTCTGAATTCCTTGTGATTTTTAAAATATCATACAAAAAAAGACCCTGCTTGCCCACATTTCAAAACACAGAGAAGAGAGCTGAAAATATGATGTGTAGTGGAGTATTTTTGACATGTTTTTTCGACGATATGTTGGGAAAGGTGGTCAAACACTGTCTTGATTGATTGATAAATCTTCTCAATTGAAACCAAAACTAAGGAGAAAATGGAGAAATCAAATTGTTAAATCTATGTTATAAAGAACTCAGGGTTAGAACTGCAAACAAGTTATCAATGCCATGATTTCCTTTGTTTAAACTTGATGAACTGTTAATGAGTTTGAGAAATTTGGTTACTAACATATATTATTAAATAAATATTTTTGTGTTCAACAGAAATTATTTAAAAAGGAATTGAAGCCTCCTTTCAAGCCAGCTGCTGGTAGAGCGGATGATGCTTTCTATTTTGATCCTGAATTCACTTCTAAAACACCGCAAGGTATTTAAATGTGTTTGTAATAATAATTTATTTTCTCCTCAATCATATGGCAGATAATGGAAGCATGATCCATGATAAATTTTCAGACCAGTCGTCTTGAAGACAATCCTGAAGTGTTGAAACCCCTCTTTTGAAACCCTTGTTTTGTGCCAACAAATTCTACTTTTAGCACAAGAACAAATTGTATTTTCTACTAGCTGATGAACATATAAAAAAGAGTACATGTACATTATTCTTACACACAACCAAGTAAAATTAAAAGGCCACCCTTGGGGAAATGGATAGTGGCTGCTTAAAGGGGGCTGGCCACTTAATAGAGGTATAAACAATAGAAAAGCCCTCTTCAGGACTTTGATTTCTGGTCACCTTATAGGGGTGGCCATAAGTAGGGGTTCAACTGTATGTATCTTGATTGATCTTTAATGTTTTAAATAGATTCTCCAGCTGTTCCCCCAAGTGCGACTTGTCACCAACTTTTTAGAGGATTTAGTTTTGTGGATCCTGGACTTGTACAAGTGAGTTTTGAATAGCTAGGGAAAAAGTTCCTTATTTTTTTAATTTCAAATACAAATTACACTGACTGCGCTTTTCTCATTGTTTTCTTACTTGTAGGCAGACATTTTTTGACTAGTTAATACATTTATATTTTCCTTTTGACAGGAAGAGTCATCACAACTAACATCTAATGGATCAGACAAAATGGAGACAGATCATAAAGTAAGAAAGAAGGCAACCAGATAACTCTTAATTTCTTATGTAATTAATTATTATTATTAATGTTATAATAAATACTTGTGAAAGTTAGCAGCATCAGTGCATATGATCATACAGTTTATTCTAAAAGAAACTTAGTATTTATAAGTCACTAAATAATTTTGTTAACATTATTCTTATCTACAGCCGGTCCATAGTATGTTCACCATTAGAACAACGTCCATTCTTGAAGAATATGAAATTAAACAGGTGAGCCAGCACTACTGTAGACACTGTTGTACACTGTATTGTGATTGGAACATGCCATTGTGTTGATGTGAGGTGTTCCACACAATGTCATGTTATTGACTTCAGTCCCAAGAGTCCGTATTCAAGTACTGGAAGTCCGTATTCAAGCTTAGTGACCCATCATGCTGATGCTTATCTCCTTTTTCCATAGCTTGGAGTGACACCACAATTTCTGCTTCTTGTAGATGGGCTGATATTCCATCACAGGGTTAATACCCCAATCATTTTATTTGCTAGATGAAATTTATCTACTTAGGATGGATCAAGGCATGTCCTAGAGCAATATTACGACACAATAATCCTGGCTAGGTTAAAACTAGATTCTGCTGCACTTAGTTAACCACTGGGCATCCCTGGAGTGATCGACATTTAGTTTCTCCACACAGATACAAAGCAGATGATTGTTAAACAGCCAAGTGATGAGAATATACAGTTTAATCAACTGGGTTATTTTAGACATTTGATAGGACTTGAACAGCAAAGTAACTTGGTTTTCAATCTCAAGTGCAGTTCTTTTAATAATACTTCTGTTCTTCTGCTTAGGAAATTGGCAGAGGATCATACTCAGTTTGTAGGAAATGTGTTCACAAAGCATCAGGAGGCGAGTATGCAGTTAAGGTAAGAAACGTTTTACATTGATTCATTATTTTAGGTAGATACACCGAGAAAATTATTGCTAACTTGCTACCAATGATGATTTGCATGAGAACAAGGGAACCACATGTATGTTGTTGCTCTCATGGAATGGTTCCTGAGTGGCTGGAGATTTTTTGAATGTTGTGCATTTTTACTGGTGTTTTTAAGCCCAGGTTATGGCATTGGAAGGACACCACAAATATATAGGTCAAGATCTACATGTACTGTTTACAAGTGCATTTGCTGCAGTATTTATATTATATTTGACTCAATTCATTTAAAATCAAAAATTCTGACTTTTTTACAGATTGTAGATAAGAGTAAAAGAGATCCTACAGAAGAAATTGAGGTAAGAATTCCAATATTGAATAACGTTCTGGATCTGTAATATTTTCAGCTTGCAGTATCTTGTCCCACTTGTGATAGTCACACATTCTAAGAAAATGATAAGTTTTGAGAGTTTTGCAAAATCCTTTTTCATCAAATTTCTGCCACATTTTTATAATGTAATCTGTAAACATGGTTGTGAAAACGTTTATTTGCCCATGAAACATTGAACTTGTTATAATGTGTCCTTGCATCAAGATTGAATTCAATTTGCTCATGGCACTAGGTCCCAGATTCAAACCCAGGCCACATTAGTGGGAAGCAAGCTCCCTCAGTACTGTGCCAACCGTTCTCCCCTTGTTACAAAGATTGTGATAAAGTAATACTAACGTTTGTTCTTTCTTTCAGATTCTTTTACGATATGGAAGTTATCAGAATGTTATTCATCTCAGAGATGTAAGTTCAGTCTTCATGATGTGAATACTAGATGCGGCATAATCCTCTGGACTAAATAAATGTGGTAACCATGACACTAAGTAATTCAAGGTGGACGCAAAGTCAACGTGGCAGCCATTTACAAGCACATGTTCTAAAACTCTTTAATCCCAGCATGCTTTGGACAGTGACAAAACTTGCATCATTTGAGACAGTCATGTGTGACATTACTCAGATTCAGAAATCAGATGTTGTCATAGAGTCCTAAAAGAGAAGCCTATTAGGGCCAATTAGGTCATAACTCTGCTGGGCACTCAACTCTGGTTTCTGAAGCTTGAAGTGGCTGTGAGTACTGCTACTGCCCCATGGACAGGATGCTAGTCCAAATCAGGGTGTCATCAGGTTGTCCCAGTAATTTCTGCTGTTGGGTGGAGACAGGCACTGTAAGAGTAACGTTTCTTGTCCAATAACACAATTGACACAACGTTGGAGAACCCTGGGCAGGGTTTAAACCCAGAGCTCTTCATATGGAGTTCAGCTCACTAACTGGGAGGCTTGGTTATTAAAGTGAGATTTGTTTTTTGTTAGGTGTATGATGATGGCAAAAACATGTTTATGGTGATGGAGCTGATGAGGGGAGGAGAACTTTTGGACAGAATACTTAAACACAAGAGTCTATCAGAGCGAGAGGCTGCACTGATAATGTTCACACTAGTCAGCACATTCACTTTCCTCCATGAGGAAGGGGTAGGTTGAAATTTTCAATCATTTTATATTTCAGCTGATGTGTCATGAAAATCCCTCTAGCTTGAATGAAATTCCATGTTACCATTTTATTTCTGGAATTAGCAAAATTATTTGAAGATGCAAGGAAGTGCTAATACAACTGTTTACTAATGCTAAACCGTAAAAGAACAAGGATGTAGAGACTGGGGAAGACTGTGACACATTACAGAGGACGCACTGCAAAAATTTTGCAACCTGCTCCATAGTTAGGTCACAATAATTTATGGTAATTTATAGCAAATTAATTATACTGTGTACTTAATTAATTAATCCTGTGTAATTTTCTGTTATGATAGGTTGTCCACAGGGACTTGAAGCCAAGCAACATAATGTATGCGGATGACAGTGGAAGCCCTGAGTCTCTAAGAATAGTTGATTTTGGATTTGCGAAACAAATCAGAGCGACAAATGGCTTGCTAATGACGCCATGTTACACGGCTAATTTTGTGGCTCCTGAGGTGCTAAAGAAACAGGGTTATGATGCTGCTTGTGATATTTGGAGTCTGGGTGTGCTTCTTTACACCATGCTTGCAGGGTGAGTGCTAATTTATGCAGTACAGCTCATTTTTCATGTGTATGGTCACACACCTGAGTTTCATTTCATGTTATACTGTTTAATAAACAATGCCACATCAAATTGAATGGCGCATATTAGTGTTTCATCCATAGATTGGAAAGTTGCTAAAGTGCCAAACAAAGTATTTTTCAATAGCTTTCACATGAATGGTTCTACTCATCCTCATCTTTTTAACAGTCCTTTGATTACTTATTTTTAGGACTTGGTTCGACAGATGCTTCATGTTAATCCAAGACTACGGCTAACAGCAAAACAGGTAAGAGGCAATTGATAAATTCCCGACATTTTGTCTGCTGTTTGGCCTTAAAGGAACTCTGTCACGGATTTTTAGCCAAATTTAGACCCAAGAAAATGGCCACCAAATTGAGTGAAATATAAAAATAACCATTCAAGACACGGAAGGAACATTTCAATCACACAACAAACACAATCGAAGGTACGAATCATGCAATGGGATGGACAGAAATTGAAGATTAAATAGACTAAACTCAGCCGTGACACAGTCCCTTAAAATCAATCGATTAGCTGGATTTGGCAACCTTTGGGAAAAATCCGGCGTCCTTTCCATTTTTAAGGTCTTTTATTGTCTCTGTCTTGCTACATGTTCATGTATAAAGGCTCTGTTTCATTGTAGTTTATGCCTACGTTTTGGGTTACGTTTTAGGTTCTTCAACACCCATGGGTTGTGAGTCGCTACCAGCTTCCCGTGCACAGACTTCACCAGGTCAGCAGCGTGTCAAGAATCAAGGAAGCAGTCAAGGCGACGTTTTCCGCTCTCTCCTCCCCCGACAACAAGCGCCTCAAACCAGTTCACGCTTCGCTGCTGGCACAGCGGAGAACGACGAAGAAGTCTCCTAAATAAAAAGACTTGACGGCCGTCCTTTTGTAGTGGAACTTTTGTACGTATTAAGGAACCTTTTTTCACAAGTTCTTGGACCATCGAGAAAAAGTTAGCCCGCAAAACCACCGTCTTCTTTGCACAACAGTCACGTGATAAACCAGTCGTGTGAAGTGTACAGGTGCAGCTTTGGAACACCGTAAGACCTTCCCGGATGTTATGACGTCAGAGTGCAGGATATGGTTATCGCCGGCCCGCTTGATGCGGATAAAATAATTGTGTTGTTCTAAAGGGTGCCTTTTACGCGATGTGGTTCAAGTTAGAAGCACAGACTGTTAAGCGTCCACAAGCTTTTATAAATAAAGCTTCTCCGGCATGCGGGCATTTCTTGAGTGGAGAAGAGGCAGTTTTGCAGGTTAAAAATTAGTGATACGAACCATTAAAAGCTCTAGTGGTGTATTATTATAAATATTTATGGTTTCATTCTTGATAAACTCACAAAACAAAGGGGGTAAAAACAAAAAAATCCATTTAAATTCATTTTGTTTTGGCGTCAGAGAATTGTACTTTATCAATGACTGCTGAATGCAGAATTAATTTTAAAAAATGTGTTACTTATATCGTGCGAGAAATTAGGAATTTTCCTATATGCGCTTTGTAACTAATTAATAGGACGTTAGCAATAGTTTCATACGCTAAAGGTTTAAAACCGGATAGCATAATTCACTCGGATAGAAAAGAGAAAATACTTCTAACTGAACTATTACCTACCCTAAATAACTAGTTTGGTAGACAGTTTAGACGCTAGTGGACAAATCACTAAAATCAAGATTTTGACATTCAGTCGTTTTTGTTAAGCATCAGTGAATATATCGTACTGTGCGTGCGGCGAATTCTAATTTGTAAAAAGAAGAAAAATTGCTTTTGCGATCAAGAAAACCTTATTTTGTTCAGTGGCAATTCTAACGTGCCAATTTGTTGATGAAAAAAAAATGATTCAAACTTTTATACTACATAAATCATACCGGCTTATTTTTCTATATTTCTGTACTGTTTTTCAGAAACTTTGTATGTATAAAGTTGGTCTTTTTTGAGTGGGGGTCGATTTGCCGGTGTTTCCTATTTTAGTTCGTGTCTTCCAACGAACAGAATAGAATTGATTAGTAACGAATGTGATAAATACGTTAAATATCATTTTGTTAATACAGTTCAGACAAATTGTGAACGTGTTTTGTATCTTCTGGTCTTGTTTGTCACAAAAGGACGTTCGCGCGCAAATGTTCTACTCGATAGATTTTCCTCAAACTTGAACTTCCACTGCGGAGAGATAATGAATTGCTTGTTTCAGAAAAATGGGGGTCACGGACTTCGTTTCAGCGATAAAGTGTGGGAAAACTAGTTTGATTTTAAAAACTGGCGCGCGTGAATCATTCCCAGCAGAGTCTCCAGGGTTTTTAGCTTAAAATATCAAAGATGAATCAACGGAGACAAACTATCGTAGTAATACTTTGTATAAGTGAATCCGTTGCGTTAATAATTCCAAATGTTGCCAACGTTTTCACAAAACTTAACTCTTCAAGAGACATTTGAAACTGCTGCAAAGATTAGCAAAGAGCTCAAAAGAACGAAATTCGATGGTGCATTTTGCCAAAAATTCAAACTTCTGATCGATAGATTTTCTTCAATTTTTCGCTAAATGCAGAAAATCGGTAGAGGAAATGATCTATCAAAAGTTAAGTAGGGGTCACCGAACGTCCAAGATCGTTAAACCCAGGCAAAGCGATGGCAATGGCCATTTGCCCTATCATTGTTCATTTTATTACTTAGTACGCGTTCGATCCATGACGTGGCGTGTGAATTTGCGTGCGCAGTAAGGATGCGCAGAAACAATTACGTGAATGTCCTTAAATAGAATTAGCTAACGCCACACCCTTGAGTTAAGGTTTTCGAATTCCCTGCTGAATTTCAATTTGACTTCATGCCCAACAGTCGGAAATTACTGTAGAACACATGTAAATTCCTTGAATTTTTTTTTTTTCAGAAAAGACTAGAGATTCCAAGGGCTATTTTGGTTTTGCAGTTCATGAATTTTCCGACTTTAAATAAGCCCGAACACAGGAGATCCCGCAGCACCAGATTCTGCCTCGTCCCCAGTCACCCGCGCGATAGTAAAAAATATAATCGTATCTATAACGAAATTCTCGATCGTGATTGGTTCTCCACGCGCCTAGTTGCCGCGTAATTGGCGCGCGATCACGTGGGTGTCCAATTACAGGTATCCAATTTGAACTTTTTGTAATTGGATACCCACGTGATTCGCACGTCAATTGCCCGCGCTTTAATGGCTTCGTTCGCAATGTTTCCTACAGTTTTCAAAACTTATGAAACGTGCTACATACGTTTTCGCTCAAAAGAAGTTCTCAAAAGACATTTTTTAATTCCGAGATTTGTTATAGATACGATTAATTAGTAATTGGACCTCGTGTCGTGCAATTCAGGGAGTAATCGGGCTCATAATTTCAAATCGGCCTCGCGCTTCGCCCTCGTTCGACTTTGAAATTACTCGCGCGATTACTTATTACTTATTCGGAAGGTCGAATCAACTAAATTAACAAACCGAATGTGGTTTTAGCGTGGTCTGTACTCTTATCGACAGCGAATACGCGTCATCACAGTGGTCAAAATGTTGTGGACTCACAACAAATTTTGACCACTGTGATGACGCGTACTCGTTGTCGATAAGAGTACAGACCATGCTAAATCACAGTTGGATTTTTTTTTTT